CACCGTCACCCGCATGTCCCCTCCCCCAATCCCATTTGCAAGAGAATCACTTACAAGAGAACAGGGACCCAGAGATCAGAAGCAGATTTAGATCTTGCTCTGCAGCTCCGTTTGTGTGACTAGGGCAAAGCACCTAACCTTTCGGAACCATAGTTTCCTTTATCTGTAGAATGGTGATAATGACCTTGCTTACTTCATAGTATTGTTCAGAGGCACAGAGGATACAGAAGCAAAATTCTTGTCCTTAACCCGCCTTAAAGCCTAACAAGGGAGTTGGACAAGCACACTCACTGTGTGATCTGTACCAGACCAGAGGCTTGTTTGGGATGCAAATAGTGAGCAGAGTGGAGGCAAACTAATTCTATCTAATAAGGGGGACCTGCAGAGCTGCCATGAGGCGTGGGGCATGGAAGCAACTTTCCGGGGCTTGGGACTGGCGCTTGTTGAACACCAGACACTCTGTTAAGCATTTTACCCATGTTTTATTTAGTCCTCACAATAAGCCTGTGAGATAGGTTTTATCATCCCCATTTTATAGATAAGCAAACTGAAGGTTAGAAAGGATCATGCATTGCCTTGGCATAGTATTAACTGAGCATCACCTACGTGCTAAATGTTGCCTGTATAACAGTACACAAAACAGACCCAAGTCCTCTGCTTCTGGAGCTTGCATTCCATAGGTGAAGTCACTTGCCCAAAATGAAACTGGAATGTGCCAGAGCTGGGACTCAAACTCAGGTCTGGTGGCCTCCTGCGCTTGTGCTTTTCCCACCTCACCCCAGAACTCACTGCTCCCCAGGACACCCCTCTCATTGGGGGCACAGACTGCCCCTGCCAGCCCTTCTGGGGAATTTGGAGATTCCAAAGCAAGGCTGGGTCGGAGATAGGAGAGGAGCTGACATTTCTGTAGAACTTTCTATGTCCCAGGCCCTTCCTGGCAGCACTGCCCCCCAAAGACTGAATGCCTGACTACCTGGATGTTTTTCCTAGGGAGGGATGGAAAGGGGGAGCTTCCCCAAGGGGGATTCAAAGGATGATAGGGGGCTCTGTATGCTTCCCTCAGAGGGAGACACCCTCTTCCTGGCTCAGATAGGGAATCCCTTTGGATTTCACTGGGTTTAAGAGTGGGGCCTATTGTTTCCCTAGTGTTTAGATCATCTGAGGGAGGAAAACTCCAGACCAGGGTGTATCTGAGGATAAAATCAGCCTCTGGCATCTAAGTGGATTCTGGCTCCTTAGTAAAAGGCTCAGCTCTGCTCTTCCACTGTTCTGGGCTTCAGGCTGCTTCTTGATGCCATGAGACCCATGACACTCCCACTGGGCAGTGATGTTGGTTTCCTCAACCCAAGAAGACAATCAGGGATTAGCAAACCTACCCCACTAAGAAAAAAAGATGCAGTTTACTCCTAGTGGCAGTCACTTGGAAACAATCTAAATGGCCAATGTTCGGGGATTAAATGAATTATGGTAAAAACATGCATTAAGTAGAATACTTAAAATTAAAATTTTAATTTTAATTAAAATCGGCACATGGAAGAAAATTAATGGCATTAGAAGGGTGCTTATAATAGGTTTAGTCAAAATTCATGACTAAAACAGTGTACACAGGGGCACCTGGGTGGCTTAGTGAGTTAAGCCTCTGCCTTCGGCTCGGTTCATAATCATCTCAGGGTCCTGGGATCGAGCCCTGCATCAGGCTCCACTCAGTGGGGAGCCTGCTTCCCCCTCTCTCTTCTGCCTGCCTACTTGTGCTCTCTCTCTGTCAAATAAATAAAATCTTTTTTTAAAAAAAAGTGTACACAGAAAAAAATGGACAACCCAATCTTGCTTTTTTAAAAAAGATTTATTTATTTATTTGAGAGAGTACATTTTCAAGTGTGGGGAGGGGCGGAGGGAGAGAAGCAGACTGCCCACTGAGTACAGACCCTGGACCCCCAACCCTAACCCCACCAAGGCTGGATCTTAACCCTGAGATCATGACCTGAGCTGAAATCAAGAGTCGGTGCTCAACTGCCTAAGCCACCCAGGTGCCCCAACCTGATCTGATTTTTTAAAATTCTGTGTATATGCATAGAAAAATGTCTCCAAGGATGTATACCAAGTATGAGCAGTAGTCCTCTCTGGGTAGTAGAATTGTAAGTGATTTTTTTCCTCATCTTTTCAGTATTTTCCAATCCTTCAGTGAAAATGCACGTTTTTCGTAACCACGGAGAGAAAATCCCACGGTATATATTAAAGAGAGAAGAGGAAGAGAATATCTCCTTTTGGCCCTGTACTTAGATGACCACAGGCCCTGGCCAGCTCTGGGATATTTGGACGCTGAAAAGTAGTGGGTCAGGGACCAGCACGTGGAGAACTAGCCCAGCACAGACACCATGCCCAGACAGGCCACCTGACCCCAAAGCTTCCTCTCACCCCATCTCATTGGTTGGCTTTGCTGCATTTGTTGGCATCTGTCTCCCCAGGACGATCGCCTCCTCCACAAGTCAGGCTCTATTACCTCTTCTGTTCCCTCTGACTTCCCATCAGAAGAAGCAGCCCAAATGAGATCTTGGTTTGTAAGCAGCAGAGGACATACTCAGCAGCCCCAAGCTCTGGGCATTGATCCTAAAGCGACAGGGGCCAGTGAGAAAAGTGGGAACTCCTTCATGGGAGTCTAGAAATAGGCAGATAGCTGGCTTACGGGGACAGATGCTGGCTGAAGGTCAGCAACCTGCAGAACCTGGTCCAGCTTGGTAACTACGGCTGCCACTGAAATCGGGGCTGTGGAAATGACAGCTTGGTGTGAAGTACAGGTTGAAGCAATTCATCTGATCACCTCTTCCCCCTTCACTCCCAGGGCTCCCAGGGCTCCCAGGGCTCCTGCGGCCGCCATCTCACTCTGCCTATAGGCTGATGACTTCGGCTCTTCTCTTTTGAACCTGTTGCAGTCAGGTTGTCATCCCAGCCCTACCACTGAATCTGCCCTTGACCAATATCACCTGGGACTCTAAGTTGCCAAATCCGGTGATTAATTCTTTGTCCTCACATGACTTGACCTATCACAGTGGATTTGGCCATCCTCCTTAAACCCCTTTCTCCTGATTTTCCTCCTATTATACTCCTTCTCAGTCTCCTTTACTGTCCCTCAGTCCTTAGTTTCCCTGTTGACAGTTATCCCCTTGGTGGCCTTATCCTGTGTCACTGCTTTAAAGAGCCACACTCTGAGCACTTGCAAATCTTCATGGCTAGTCTAGATCTCTCCCCTGAATTCGCACATCTACCCGCCTACAGACCTCTCCATATCAGTCTCTAAAAGGCATCTCCTACTTAACATCTCTAAAACTGAGTTTCTTAATCTCCCCTCTCCAACAGGCTCCACCAGCACAATGCAAGCCAGATAGTAGCAATTCTAGTTCTAATTCTATTTGCTTGAGGCAAAAGTCTCAGAGTCCTGTTGGAATTCTTTATTTCAAACCCACCTCTAATCCATCGGTGATACTGTTGGCTCTCCTTTCTAGAATCTGACCATATGTCTGTACCTCCATGCTGCCTCTGTAGTCCAAGCCACCGTCATCTCTTGCCAGAATTTCTGTAGTAGCCTCCTAACTGGTTCTACCTGTGCTCCCCAATTTATTCTCAACATAGTGTCCTGAGTGATATGGAGAGGGGAGACTTTTGTTTTGTTTTGTTTTGTTTTGTTTTGTTTTGTTTTTAAGAAGTGGGTGGAGGGGGAGAGGGAGAGAGAATCTTAAGCAGGCTGCGTGCCCAGTGTGGAGCCCAGTGCAAGGGTGATCTCATGACCCTGAAATCATGACCTGAGCCGAAATCAAGAGTGACAGATGCTTAACCAACTGAGCCACCCAGGCGCCCTCAGAGTGATATTGTTAAGATGTGAGTCACATCATGTCACTTTTCTGTGTAAAACTCTCCCGTGGCTCCCATCTGAGTCAAAGCTCAAGTTCATCCAAGGGCCTTCTTTTTGTGCCCTGCATGTTCAGATCCTCACTGCCTCTCTGATCCCCTATCTTACCTCCCCTTCACTCACCCTGCTCTGGCCACACCACCCTCCCCAATGATCTTTACCATGTCAAACAGCCTCTCACCTCTGGGCCTTTGTACATGCTGTTATGTTCCCTCCACCTGGAAAGCTCCTTCCCCATTAAATGTCAGGGTTCAGGCCTTTATTTCTTTCAGGTCTTTATTCATAATTCACTTTCCCTGGCCATACTATTTAGAGTTTCAGTACTCCTGCCCACCTGCTCCAACACTCCCTTGACTTTCTCCTGTTTGCTTTTCCCTCCAGAACACGTTCCTCTTCTGACTACTATATACTGTATTTTATTTCCTTCTCCGGTTGTTGGTCGTGCCTCATAGAATGCAAGCTCCATGAAGGCAGTGTATTTGTCTCTTTTGTCTACTGCTGTATCTCCAGAGCCTGAGGACAGTGCCTGGCATATAGCTGGTGCTCAGTAAATGCCTGATGAATGGCTCTATGACTCAAAATACATGAAAGGATGATTTTCTGTTTATAAAAGGCCTTGAGGGGCCTCTGGGTGGCTCAGTGGGTTAAAATCTCTGCCTTCAGCTCAGGTCATGATCCCAGGGTCCTGGGATCGAGCCCCGCATTGGGCTCTCTGCTCAGCAGGGAGCCTGCTTCTCTTCCTCTCTCTCTGCCTGCCTCTCTGCCTACTTGTGATCTCTGTCTGTCAAATAAATAAATAAAATGTTTTTAAAAAATAAAAAATAAAAGGCCTTGAGACATGGTGGAAAGAGCCCTGGAGTTCCTGCCAGCATAGGAGCATCGAGAGACCGAGTGAGAAAGAAATGCCCCCAGTGGAGAATGTCCATGTGTGGAAGTCTGATGTGGGCCAGCATGCAGCCAGCTCACACCTCGGTGGCTTCTAAAGAGTCACCACAGATGAAAGGGATCCCAGTTCTCTTCCATCCAGGCCTTTTTTTGCCCCAAGGCCTGCCCTCAGGACTCTGTCTCAATCACTTACTTTCCTTTTCTTCTCTAGGTGCCAGAGTTTGTAGCCTTTTGGAGGAAGACCACAACAAGGTAAGAGAATAATAAGACTGTGTCTAGTTTGGGACTTCCAAACTTACAAGGCCTTGGAAGGTATTCAAGGAAGACCAGGATGTTGGAAGTGTTGGCAGCTAGATGAAGCGAAGGTCCAGAGGACTCATCTTGACTTCCTGGATAGAGTGTGGGTGCTGGGACAGTGAGGACAGCGCAGTATTTAACAGTGGATCATCAGCGGTGGCTGCAAGGTCTCAGACCCAAGAAGATTGTGCTCCCCTTGGGAAGACAGGGCAACCTCCCCCAAGCCAGTCGGCTGTGTCCATAGCCTGGCTCTCCTGCTCTGCCTCCCCGGCCTCCCTCCAGGCCTCTGTCTTTCACCCCTTGCTTTTCCTCCAGGCCTGCTGAAGTCAGGGTGTCCTGGGCATTCTTTCTTTCTTTCTTTCTTTCTTTTTTTTTTTTAAGCAAGGATGGTTTGGATGTAGATGTAGAGAAATATAGGATGCTTCCTGCATAGGGATTCTCTGATCCTGGGTTAAACCACAGTCCAAATTTTAAAGAGTGAAAACACTCAGTAAATAATGGCTGTGGGGAATTGTGTACCAATGTGCATAGTGTTAAAAATGTGTCCAGCATTGGACCAAGCGATTCCACTTTCTGGAATTTATCCTAGGAAAATAATCACAGTTATGCAAAGATGTGTGTACAAAGATAATTTGTCACTGCATTGTTTTTATAAGAAAGAGTGAGAGAGAGGAAGGAAGGAAAGAGAAAAGAAAGGAAAAGAATTGGAAAGCCCAAGAAAAAGGAATTAGTCCTTTAAAATCTGGCACATCCACACAAGAGCATGTCACACAGCAGGATGACCTAGGTGTGTAGTTAATGGCAAGAAAGAAGTTTGCATATATTACTAAGTTAAGGAACAAACAAACAAAAAAAAAAGGAAATGTAAAAAACTCAGCAAACATGCAAAGTGAGTGGCTTGGGAAACAGGCTGGAGGGCTGAAATCCAGGTCAGTCTCTTTTAACCCATGTGAGAGCTCAGGCAGGTGATTTGATCTCCCTAAGCTTCTACTTCTTTCCAGTAGAATGGGCATAATAACACAGGTCTTGCAGAGTTATAAGAATTGGGTGGGATTAATACATCTAAAGACCTGGGCACAGATTCCAGCCTGTATTGAGTGTTCAGCAGGTGGGCACCCAGATGAGGTGTGAACCAGTAGTATTTTTACTTGTGTATAAGCCTGGAAACGTTCTGGAAATTCATAGTCAAGTAGTGGTTTTATTTGGCTGGTAAAATATTGAGTGATTTTCAAATTTTTCTTATTTTTGTGCATGGAATAAATGTTACTTATTTAATGATGGTGTAATTTTTAAAAGGAAGTAACAATTGAAAAGGTTAAAAGAAAAAAAACCTGCCATGCACTTGTCAGGCAAGCCAGCTGTGCAGTCTGGGTGAGTAGAGGTAGGAGGGAGGAGGAGGAAGAAGGGCAGTGGGTAAAGGAAAGAACTGGAAGGACTGTTGGGCCTGAGGGCTGGTGCCCAAGGAGATGCACTTCAGAGGTAAAGCTCAAGCTGCTACAGGCATGTTCCCCACTCTGGCCCCTCCTGGGGAGCTCCTGGGGCTCTCCTGGCGGGAGATACGGTGACTCAAGGCCCATCTGTCCCATGAGATGGCGATAAGTGTGTGCAACCAGCTCCAGCAGCAGAGCACATCAGCGGAGGGGCCCTGGGCCTTCAAAACCCAGCATCTTGTCCAGGCCCAGAGCAGGAGAGGCAGGAAGTCCTAGGGAGTTCCTCAGTTCCTCAAAGAATGACTAGCTCCTCTCTTCTTTGGCTCCCTGGCCAGATCCACACTCAAGAGCAGGGTCTCCCCAGTCAATACAACCTGCTGGGAAGGGGAGCCAGTGACTGGTGACCGCTCCGGGTTGCTGTGTGGGCTCCCACCCTCTCCCCCACGTGCCAACTGCCTTCACTGGCCAGTGAGATTGGGAGAAACTCTTCCACGTTAAGGAGGTGCCAATTTATTCAGCATTCTCGGGGCATGGCTCATCCACGCAAGTGACTTCTCCAAATAATCAAACTTAATCCCATTGCATTGCAATTTTTCATTGTACTCATTTTTAATTAATTTCTGTTTTATCACGTTGATCAAAATAATGCAGACATACGGTTTCTGTATCAACAGTACAGAGAGGCTGGGAATAAAAACCTTCTCCCTTAGCTTCCTCAGTCCTGCTCTCTCTAGAGATAGCCTCTTTCAAATCTTTCGTTAGTTTCTATTTCTGCTTATACTGTTATTTCTTGATTTACCGATTTTAGACACCTGTTGACTTGTGGGAGATAAGAATTGAGCTTCCTACAAAGTCATTTCCAGTTCTCCCCCATCTCCCAGTAAGAATATAACATGATTTTTGGTTAACTCAGTAGTGAATGTAGAGGTATTCTTCACTGCTGAGCTAAGTAGTGTGTTGTGTGGGGGAAAAGTCTTGTATCTTTGATAATTTTCTCCCTTCTATTTTACCTGTTGGACCTACTGGATTTACTCTTCTGATTTTCTTATATTTTCTCTATTTCCCTGCCCTTTGCCCTTGGGTCTCCTTTCTTGGGCAACTTTACTTGACTTTATCCTCAAACCTTGCTGCTGATGTTTTAATTTCGGCTTTCATATTTTTTTTTTTAAGATTTTATTTATTTGGGGCACCTGGGTGGCTCAGTGGGTTGAGCCGCTGCCTTCGGCTCAGGTCATGATCTCAGGGTCCTGGGATCGAGTCCCGCATCGGGCTCTCTGCTCAGCAGGGAGCCTGCTTCCCTCTCTCTCTCTCTCTCTCTCTCTGCCTGCCTCTCTGCCTACTTGTGATCTGTCCCTGTCAAATAAATAAATAAAATCTTAAAAAAAAAAAAAACTTTAAAAAAAAAAAAAGATTTTATTTATTTATTCGAGAGAGAGACAGTGAGAGAGAGCATGAGCGAGGAGAAGGTCAGAGGGAGAAGCAGACTCCCCATGGAGCTGGGAGCCCAATGCGGGACTCGATCCCGGGACTCCGAGATCATGACCTGAGCCGGAGGCAGTCGTCCAACCAACTGAGCCACCCAGGCGTCCCACGGCTTTCATATTTTTAATATACAGTTATTCATTCTTGTCTTCTGTGCCTTTTTTCATAATCACATTCTTGTTTTATGGATATACTCTTGATCTCTTACCTCTATGAAGGCATTATTTTTCTTCTATTTGTTTTGTTTTGATTTTCTTCTATTCTCTTTATTATCTTTGTTTCTACCTAGCTGCCTTTTGCATGTTTGTTTTCTCTCTTTCATGATGGAGGTATTCCTCAAATGTCAGATGTCCTGGCTGTCTGTTGATACTTATTAATGGAGCAATAAAAACCTGAATTAAACTGTATGTTTGGGGACAACGTATCAGCTGGGGATTTGCTATAGGGAGCAAGCTGGTCTTTTCATTAACAAGCCTCTAAATGTCAGGCTCTGTTCTCTAGAGCTAGGTTTCTCAACCTGGGAGCTATTGATATTTTAGTACAAATAATTCCTTGTTGTCAGGGGCTCTTGTGCACTACAGAATGCTTAGCAGTATCACTGAACCCCCAGATGCCTTTTCTATACTTGTGATAACGAAAAATGTCTATAAACATTGCCAAATGTCCCCTGGGAGGCAAGATCACCCCACTGAGATCCACTACTTAAGCCATTCCACTTCTCCAGAGAAGCATTCTGACTCTTGTTCCCATTACTTATGACTGCATAACAAGCCACTCCAGAACTTAGCAGCATAAACAACAGCCATTTTATTCTTCTACAAGTCAGGAATTCAGAAAAGGCATAGCTCCACAATGTCTGGAGCCCAGGTTGGGGTGACTGAAATGACCAAAGGCTTGAGTCACTGGGATTTGGAACAGCTGGAGCTGAAGGATCCACTTTCCAGATGGTTCCCCACTTGGCAGGGATAGCAAGAAGCCTGGGCTCAGCTGCGACTGGTGACCAGAGAGGCTGCACATGGCATCTCTAGCATCCAGCCTAGTAGCTGGATCTCATACATGGTAGCTCTGAGCTCTTGTGTGAATGCTCCAGCAAGCAATGTGGGGACTGCATGGCCTTTTATGGCCTGGTCTTGGAAGTCACATGGCTTCACTTACTACTGCAGTCACAAGGCCCCCCCAGATTCATGGGAAGGGACTGATACCCACTTCTCAATGGAAGATGTGTTGAAAAAATTTGCAGCTATGTTTTAAATTCACCCCACTCCAGAACAGGGTGCTATATGCCTGGGGCAGGGTGAGATGTGAGGCGTGGAGACCTTGAAGCTCACTGTGCAGTCTTCAGACTTTGTCCTCGTCACCCATTTGCATCCTTGTGCTCATCTGCCGTCTCCTCTGCCTCCATTTCTCATGTTCAGAATCTTTTGTCTCCTGCTCCATGAGGCAGAGCGTGGAGTAGGATCGAGAAGGATTTACCTCGTCCCTTACCCCACTGAATCCTATGCCTACCTGACTCCTACCATCATCATGGCTAATTTCCCTGAGGTCTGAGCTCATCCAGGGTTCTGGGGGTGAAGGGGCTGGCCTCCTGTCAGCAGCCCTGTCCGTGGGCCCTAGGAGACTAGCTTCCTCCAAGCCAGCCCTCATTCCTCCCTCTGCTTTCTCTCTTCCTGGAGGCTCCTCCAATCTCATCCACCCATGTCTCCTTTACCATTCCCTTTGCACTTGAAGGTCGATACCATTTTCTTTCTTCTTTTTTTAAATTTATTTTCATTTATTTTTTAAGTTTTTATTTAAATCCCAGTCAGTTAACATACAGTGTAATATTAGTTTCAGGTGTACAATATAGTGACTCAACAATTCCAATGCAGTGACCACATTTAACTCTTTGCTGTTAATTCAGAGTTATCTTTATGAATGTTCATGTTTACCTTGGAATTATGAAGCTAAGTAGAGCAATTTGGCCCTGCATGATGGGGACTGGGATCACTGTGCTAAAATCCCTTCAGCCTTTTTTCATGGTCATCTCTGTCTTGGACTGCCTCTCATCCCATTCATTTGTGGTGAGGGTGCCACATTATAGCACATGAACTTTCTTTTCTTCTTCTTCTTTTTTTTTCTTTTTAAAGATTTTATTTATTTATTTGACAGCGAGAGAGAGAGAGAGAGAGAGAGAGAGTGAGTGCACAAGCAGGGGGAGTGGCAGGCAGAAGCAGGCTCCTTGCAGAGCAGGGGAAGCCCGATATGGGATTCGATCCTGGGACTCTGGGATGATGACCCGAGCCAAAGGCAGTGGCTTAACTGATTGAGCCACCCAGGCGCCCAGCACATGAACTTTCAATCTGCTCCTCCAGAGTGACTAAACCAGATGGCTGTTCGTAGTGTCCCTGCCATGGCCCTGCTCCTACCTATTTCCTGCCTACCCTTCCTCACTCCTTCCTGCATTCAACTTTTGTGGATTGCCTCAATCTGGCTCCATGGTACTTGCTTCCAGTTGGATTTGGCCAACTGAAGACCCCTGCGGGGGCTTGGAGAATAATGGTGGGGTGCTTTAGGGTCCTTTATCCCCCCAGTTACCTCCCTTGCTATGCCTCGGGTCAGGAGGATCTGGGTTCTTCACTTTAAAGCCACAACGCCTACAGCAGCCTTCTCCTCTAGCCCTGTGTAGGTTCCACTAACCTCTCCCTTCAGGTTGGAGGTAACAGCTCCCTCACTGTAGCTGGCTCTAGGGGGCTTCTCTTCCCATTGTCCTTCTCCTTAGTCCTGCTCACCATGGATGTGTACAAGCTCTCCTCGGTTACCTGGGCAGTGCGCATCTGTTTCCCACTGGGACTCTGACGATACAGAAACTTTTTCTCATTTGCATCTAAAGCAAGAATAGTCCCCGAGAGAGATCCTCCCAGTTCTTTGTATGAGCTTTGTGACATCTCAGGACTACACAGGGGCTTTTAAAAATTCACTTTCGAGTTTTTAACCATGATGCACGATAGAAGGTACTGGATTAGTGACTTCTCCGTATGGGGGAATATGACTCACTAAAGTGTTTTGAGGAGGAAAATAAGCCTGTCAATAAAAGGAAACCAGGAGAGAGAGAGTATATGATTACTTTCAGAAATTATATGGCCAACTGGAAAACATCAACAGTTTCAGAAAATGAAGAAATATCTTCCTGAACAACAGATCCTTGTTGGGTCTCTAAGGTGAAGTGTAGGTTTGAGGGACATCCAGGCCATGTCTGGGTTGGATTCCCCTATATCTGACATGAGGAGTCCCTTAGGTGAGACCCACTAAGCTTGTGTGTT